ATTGAAAATCGGAGCAATTTAACCAGCCAAAATGTTGCTGAGAAAAACCCACATCATTGTAAAATCAATACATTGTTTCGCTCCGCTCAGAATCTAAGACGTATGTAAAAATAAAACGTCAGAAAATGTACAAACTATTTGGTAGGGTGAACAGACCAGTGATTGAACAGTTAAGTATTTGTTTGCTATTAAAATGTATTCATAAATTGGTTTTCAGCATTATAGGTAGGTACCTACTTGTAGGTACAATTTAGAATAGAAAATTGATACGATTTTTTATTTTTAAACTAACATTAAGAAAACCGTACAAAACCAAATTACTATTAGGTAAATATAATAAACATATCAGTAATTTAAAACAAGTAGGTATGTGGGTGTCGCTCTGCTGTACAGTAGGCTACAAGTGGATCACTGTATGGATGGTGGTATGCGGAAAACGATTCTGAACCAGTGGCGTCATTTGGGGGGGGGCAAGGTGGGCATTTGCCCCTGTCTGATTTTAAAAGCAGCCCGAAGGGCCGGTGCCCAGTTTTTGCCGTTTCACCATTATTATTTTTTATCAGCGCAAAAACATGTCTATTTTATAATATTTTCAGAAAATATTATACTACCTATGTACTCAGAAATTATTGTCAATGATACATTTTTTCTAATAATTGATAGTTGGAATATATTTATATTTAGACGTATGCGGGGACGTACACATTGTATGTAGGTATAAGGTATGTTTGTTTGTGTGAGTGTATAACAATAATAATAATGAGTATCGTAATCCCGTATAATTTTATTTCTAAAATCTAAAATTAATACAAATTCTAAAAACAACAACTGATTGGCACTCTTATTAATTATCATTGTCCATTGATACCAGACTTCATACGCAGTTAACTTACGAGTTGCGACAGTCGTGTATGGTAAATTATTCAACTATTGCTGCGTATTGTGTTGTGTACCCAGGGCCGGGTTGGACAAATTCGGCCCACCGAGTTTTCCGTACTTTACCTACCCACTTTAAAACTGGCGGCGCTTGGGTACGCTCTTATTCCGTGCATAGTTATTTTATTTTATAGTCTCCATTTCTTCAACTTTTAACTCTTAACATATTTTTAGTCAATGCGGCCCCTCATGACTTGAACGGCCCAAAATTGTCGCGGCCAGCTGAGTTTTACATCGGTAACTCGCCGGGTCAATCTGGCCCTGTAGTGTACCTTATCCTACCTAAATTAAAATTTATTTTTTCGTGACGCGTGTTTACATTAATCTTTCAATTTGAGCAAAATATGACTTTAAAAAAAAGTAAATGGGTGGTGCGGTTAAAAATATAAAATTACCGCAAACCGCTCAAGAATCGAAAACAATTTCTGGTATGTTTAATAAAAATACAAAACTTAAACCAGTAAGCACTAAGCAAGCAATAAAAATAATAAATATTATAATTTAAAATAATATTAATTTGAAAATATATCGTATACATATAGTCATATAGAGTATAGGTGAGAAGTGATGAATCAGGTAAAATTGATTTATAGATGATGCAGTTGATATATTTTCATAAAATAAAAAAAAAAGAAGATATCCTTTAATAAGCTACTTATATTTTTGTTTATCAATAAATATTGCTATATTATGTTTGTAGACTTTTAAGTTTTAATTGATGTAGGTGTACAATTGTTTTTTATAAAATATCTGCCACCTTCTATTTAAAAATGATATTACCTAGTTAATAAAAAGGGTTGCATAAAATAATGTAGATAATATAACGAGCGAAGCGAGCGGTTTTTTTTTTACCTATTCGGGCCGGTCAAAACCTTTGCCCCCCTCTATTGAAAACTGAAATGACGCCACTGTTCTGAACAGAGACAGTTTGTCAGCCTTGGATATTCTACATAATATTTATTTGTTATTAAATACGATAGCCGGTAAGTAGAATTAATGTTATTATTTGCATATCATCATATTTCAATATTTGTATATAATAATATAAGTACATGAGAAATACAACATACATTTTAACCAAACGAATAACATTTGTACTGACATTTATAGAAGAAAAAAAACTAAAATAAAATGGAAACGGAATATATCTGCTCAAAACAAGTCAAAATATTTTGAAAATGTTACTCAGAGTATAAGAGGATTTTGGTGTTTGCGACATAGGTACCTGTTGATGGATTTTTTAATACAAATTTTACTTTTTAGAATTTTGTCGTGGAAACATTTCCGAGCTAACTTAAAACCAAGCTAGATAGAATACGGCAGCGTCGAGTAACAATGTTGAAAACATAGACTATAGGATCAACGCAACTGGGTACAAAAAGATTATTTCTCTTTTAACAAATAACAACCAATTATATGCAAACATTTCCGTCGTAAATCTCAAAATCCCAGTCTGAGAACCTCTCTAGGTTGGACCTACAGGGTCCAATCGTGAATCCACACCATACATGAAACCAAATTTCACTGGGGACTCTACATAGTTCTATATATAATTACATTTGTAATGCATAAACAGTGATTGTGTAAGCATACTCATCCCACTTTTAACTCTGAATAATTTTAATCCTAATTTTTTTAAAGGGGACACTCTTTAACCGCCGTCTGAGGACTGACTCGGTGCTCCTGCGTCAACCCCACTTTAACCCCTGCGTATGGTGATTTATCATTCTTTATAAGATGACAGTTGACTGAGACTTAGAACCAAACCTAACCTTTGATTAGCCATTTAGCTGTCGATGATAAATTATTGTTCAGTATCTGCCAATGGAGGTTTAAAAAACATCCAAATGTATAGTCATTAGCTGTATAGGTAAGTACTATAATAATAATAACAAGTTAAGATTACTGTGAATGTAAGAACATGAATTGTGTTGCTAAAAGACAGTAGTAAATCATTATTATAAAAGCATTGACAAACCAACCATTTGAAAAAATGATTGAAGCTCATCTCATAAAATTCTTATATTATGATTTAGACATTTGCACAAGTTTATATTATTTGAAAGTACTTAAGACTTAACTGTACAGTTATTTTCAAATTACCTAGGTACACTCAATTTTTATTTGAATAATAGTTTAAATATTTCTATTAGAATATCCTTGTTCAAAAACTAAAAAAAATAATAATAAATACTCACATTAATGCTTTTATACACGTCTATATTGAAAAAAAAATTACAAATTTGAAGCGAATATATGGTTGAATTTTATAAAGTACTAAAATTTAAATTGAAAAATAATTTTAACAAACAATGTACTATGTTTTTATAATATAATGTATTGTACAATTAAAATTATGTAGACAACAAATAAATAAAATTAATAAATAATAATAAACTAATACAGTTTGTTATGAATAGTTTTCGCATCACAGCTTTATAGTCATGAAAAAAAAAATTATATGGTAATTATTGTTATGAGGACTAGGACCTTTGTTTTTATAAATTTTTTTTTCTTTTATGTAGAAAATAAATTGTATAAAATGTTATATAAACGCTATACAAGCAGTAACTACTTCAGTCATTCAAAATTGATTTGTATATACATACATGGTGTATGTATATATATTATGTGTACCTACATATAGATAATTTAATAATAATTAATATATTTGCACAAAAAAATTAATGCAAAACATTTTTGGGCTGCCTTATTAGAATATATATATAATTTCTATAGAATCTATAGATACTATTTAATATTTATGTTTATAGTATTATGTTACTTAGACATCTATTATTTAAATATTAAAAATTAACTAGATAAATTTAAAAGGATAGGTAATTGTTATTACCTATGTATGGGCAAGTTTTTTTGTTTCAATATTTTATATATAAATATATATATATAAAATGGCAAGAGTCAGCAAAATATTAACTAAATCAGCTGCCTGTTAGAGGTATATTCGTCTTTATATTTATTGCGATTGTTTTTGTTGCTACACGCGATTTTTTTAATCTTAAACACGTTATAATTAAAAGTTTTACAATAATTGTAAAAAATACTTTAGCAATTATTGCTATAATATTCAAACTTAGATTTAAAATAAATGAAATTTATTTTTAAGTTGTAATCAATTATTTATGGAAGACTAAAAAAGTAACTATACAGAATAACGAAACACGTGTACATTAACTTAAGAGATTGGTAATATTTGAATACATTATTTTGACCATTCAAAGAAAACCTTAATGTTAAGTAAACTTTATACATGGTAGCTAGAAAAATGTTTTCTTCCAATTTGTACTTTATATAACGATTGTTAACAGTAACATTATTATGGTTTAAAAATTAGTTATTTATAATAAAATTTAAAACCAAATGGGAAGACAAAGAAATCAACATTTTGTAGCGTTTTAAGTAGGTTAAAATTGAGTGGCCACATTACAGCCATTTTCATGCGTATTTTAGTCTGATTATACAATGTTTAAAATTAAAGTTAATTAAAAACTTAAAAATATTAAACAATATCACTTTATCAACAGCCTAAGTAATTATGTTATACATTTTAAAAATACTAATTTTATGATTAATTTACTCGCCAGTAAATCCATCAAAATTACAACTTGCCATTCCAAAATATATAAAACAATATATCAAAAAAAAAAAAAAATCATTAAACAAATTCCAGTATGACAAATTGTAATCAGACTTAGATTGCTGACTAAAACATTTGAAAAGATATAAACTGTTGTAGACATTATTAAAGAAAAAAAAACAATGAAGATTGAATGTACTAGATTAAAGAGTATAAAAAAAAACTTTTAACCTCATTTATTATTGCAAAATTTCACGTTTCATTGTTTTTCTTTTCTTTTTTCTTTTGTCATACACCTTTGATTAATTATTTATTAATTTAAAGTTTTTGTAAGAAAATAAAAATGAATTACAAACAGATTTTGTCAATTTATAGATTTTAGCGAGGAAAAAATTTAAAGGATTGTAGGATCAGTGGTAATGCATCAAATCACCTAGACTCTATACTCTATAGATGTGATATTCCATCAACTTGGGATTTCGTCGGCAATTTTATTTTTATTAAGAAAACATTGATCCTTAATAGGAACTGGCTTTGATCTAGCTGATTGTGTTTTCTAAAACAAAATAAATGTAAAAATTAATATGTGATAATTATTTTTTGAAGGAATGAAAGGAATAAAAATCATTATTTCTGAAATTTAATTATATATTAAATGATAGCAAACTTACTCTTCTACTAAATGGAAAACAACCAGTCTTTTCAGGTTCTGGCATTAAATCTAAAACTAAATCAGGCGATCTTGATTTATTTGGCCCAAATACATTAAGTTCTTTATAGCAACCAGTTTCGATCATCTAATATAACATAAACAATATTATTTATGACTTCAAAAACATAATCAATAAACATTAAAACTTTTATATATTATATTAATATTGATAAAATGCACCTGACATAATGTATTTGTATTTAATACTCGCATAAGTTAATAAAATCCTACTTGATACACAACTTAGTTTAGTATTACAGTTGCTCAACTTGTAACACATTTTTTTTATTCTAAAAATAATTTATATATTAGATTAATTGAGTTTTAACTGTAAAGTGAAAGTATATTCTCTTCCAGTTTAAGGTTCAACAAAAAAAAAGGCAATGGAAGATACTTAAGAGGACGCTACACAGACATTTGTTCTCCATTCATTTTTCTCCATCTTACAGGTGCGTAACATAATACATTTTACCCTCAGAAGATCGCTTATAGCTCTGTTAGTTTAAAAATTAGTATTGAATTGACCTCTTGTAAAATTTAAATTTAAAATTTAAATCTTGGTCATTTCATAGACTTTTTGTGATATTTTAATTTTAAAGGGAGTTGTGAGTATTTTAAAATTTTAAATTGTTCATCTTAAAATACTCAAAACTTGCTCTAAAATTAAAGTATAACAAAAAGCCTAAGAGATGCCCTAGATAATAATCATACCTTTAAATTGTATAAGAGGACAATTCACTCTAATGTTTAAACTAACAAAGCTAAACGTGATCTGCTGAGCAGAGAAGTGCTGTGTTATGTACTTGTATGATGGAGACAACGAGTTTATAGTTAATGTTGGAAGTATGAAATTCGATAGACAACATAAAATTAAAAATAATCATTCAACAAATACATAAATCCCAGATGTCACAATATCGTTAAAAACATACTTCATTTTGCCACGGTATAGACACTGAGCCTGTATTGAATTTTGTATAAAATGTATCATCTGTAGCATCTAAATTCACTCCTTTGACAGTAGAAAACTGCTCAATATCTAATACATCCTTGGCATATACAGCATGGGGCTATAATAGAACATGTACTGTTGTTAATTGAACTATAGAGGCTAAGGTTAATAAAAGTAAAACTTAATAAGACAATAAGACATACATCTGGAAGAAACGGAGGATCTTCTACACCAGCTTCAAGTCTTTTCCAGTTCATGGTCTTAAAAAATTCATGCTGTTTCACTTCTCTAGCACCGTAACGACCATAATGACAACCAAGTCTTGACTTTGGAGACTTTTTCAATAGCTGAAAATTAAATTTTACTGAATTAATTCATATAAGCTTTTTAAATTTTATATTAATTATTAAGATTTTGAAAATATAATGTATAAATGGGAAATGTACACTATCCTGTTATTGAGACTTCCTAGCATGACTATTGTAATTATGAAAACAATTGTACTGTATTCATCATTCAATATAAGAAACGTACAGTGCAATGACTAGTTATTGTATAAGGCGATCAGGTAATGTCAATCCATCATCGCCATCAAGTCTACTATCTGTACACACACTGTATAGTGAAGCAATGTACATACACACAAGTCGGCTACATAGCACGTTTGTTATTCTGAATAACGTATAATTCTTACATTGAATAAATAATGTTAGATGGCGTAGTAGTTTTAAAAATAGTATAACAAAAATGTACTTAGAATACCAAACTATATATTCTACATTATAAATAATATGATAATCAAACATTAAAGTTAAATGATATTAAAAGTCATATTCTACAAGTGACTAATATTTCAAAATATAAATAAAACATTTTATTTTCAAAATTTAATAGTAATTGGGTTAGTAGTGAATATTTATGATTGGTGGTCGTACTTGTTTACACAGTAGTTTTGCTTCTTCAGTAAATTTATGAGAGTATTTTTCTTGTTCTTCTTTTACTCTCCGATCAACTACTTCACGTTTAACCTGTTAATTAACATATTGATTAGTGATAACTAATATTTGGGAAATATCTTAAGGTATAAATATGTGTATACTAAAAGTAACTCTGGAAAGAAAATATTGTGAATATTATAACATAAGTTTGGATACATTAAAGTTATATGTAACTAGTAAAAACCGTTAAAGTTAAATTTACACTTAACCACGAGAAGAGCTACACATCTTTATATTAAATTACTCTCATGGTCGAAAATCAAAAAACTTTTATAGGCACTTTTTGTGCTTTAAATAAATTATTATGAAACAACCACAAAAACCATAAAACATGTGACTCGGACACTTTGTTGGCTAAAACCTACACATGCATAAAAAATGAGTTTTAAAAATGTATTTAACACGTCCGTGGAGATTCAGTGATTATGTATAAGCATTTTGATAATTTAAAATCCAATATTATGCTTTTTTTTTCATTTAACTTATGACACTGGACCCAACCACAGAATGTTCAGACGTGCACAGTGTTGGGTAAATTACTTTTAAAAAGTAATAAAGTTACTTTACTCGTTACTTAGAGAGTAATGTAATAAAGTTACTTTACTCGTTACTCAAATAAAATTGTAATGAAATTACTTTACTTTTCAAATAGAAAAGTAACTACGTTACTTTCTCGTTACATTTTTTTTTTTTATAATATTTTTTTTTTTAATTACTTAGCTATTATCATTTAAAAAGCAAAGGAACTAGAAATACACTTCCTACAGAAGATATGATATAATTTGAAAAAGATGTACCTACAGTTAATAACATAAATACATACCTAACAATATTAATTACTTATAACTTTTAAGTTATAACTATTAAAAATAGTAGTAATAAATTGTACATATGAATATTCGGTCATTACTCATTAGTCATTACTAATAAAGATATTAGATAAGTTTATTATTTTCACCGTTTCTTGTAAAATGCCAAACAGCAATAATAATTATTTATAACACTGCAATGTAAATAATTCGATTTATCATTGGTTATCCATCAATATTTATTTTTAGTGCATGTACAGACGTATAGTTTATGCTTAATAATAGACAATAGTTAATAAGAACATTAGGAACGTATAATAATTAACCACTTGTATAATAAATAATACCCGCATTAGACATTATATTTTTAAGTTTTTTTTTTTTTAAATTCGCAATAGGTACTAAATAATTTAAAACTGTAACGCGTTATACTATGTAAATTACTCATCAAAAGTAATTTTCATTACATTTTCGTTATTTGAAAATAATTGTAATTAAATTACGTAACGCATTACAAACAAAGTAACGGCGTTACAGTAACGCGTTACTTTCGTTACGTTACTACCCAACACTGGACGTGCATAATATGCAGTGGCGTATATAGGGAGGGAGGAGGCCACCTAGGCCAGATCCCATAGTGAAATTGCAGGTTCAATTAAAGCATTACATGTATATCTACACTGTTTACAGTTTTTCACCATGATTAAGTTACCCGGTTCATTAAAATCATTTTGAGGAATCAACAAGGAAATGTTAGATTGTCAGGACTTGCTTTGATGACTTATAATTGACTTTGATGTTAAATTCATAGTAAGATAACATTAAAATATATAAATGACACTGTCAATATTTTTTAAAAAAGAATCAAAAAATTAATTTTAAATAATAATTAAATTGCATAATTTTTATTTGTACTGTATATGTCATCATAATTATAATTTATAACCATCCAGCTCCCTAAAAAATGTATAGTTATGGCTATGTTAGTCGTGCTCTTCTTGACTAGTGATAACTGATAAATTGGCCCATAGTGAAAATAATTTGTATATACACCACTGATAATATGTCAAGAGTGTGAATATTTATAGTAAAAATAATAATGACTGAGTAAAAATTATTCTATGCTCACATTGTTCACGCTAGTATGAACAGGTTTTATAAACAAAGGCCATTGCTGTACACAAAACATGATGTTCATAATATTTTATTTTATGCCTACTGTCCAAGTTAATAGACTATGACCCACACAAAAATAAACAATCCAACATTTCACTTATTCACTAATATTTCACAAATAAATATTTTAACTATTAAATCTATTGAAGTTCCACAATCAGTGATGTTATTACCATACCCCAAGCGGTTTTTATTCTCAACCTATTATAGTTATTAATTTATATAATATGTTATGGTCCAAATAAGAAAATTGTTGTTATAAGAAATGCTTTAGAAATATTCACAATTACCCTATAACAATACAAATTGTGGTCAAAATAAACTGTCTTAAATACTCCAGACATTGTGGTCAATGCTAGGGCAATGTGACAATGTGACACAATTAGTACCCACCACTAGTATATCTTTGGTTAGGTAGTCATATTTTTTAGTGAAATAGTGCAGTGAGTAATCAAAATGTACTGACTAAGTGTTTTTACAAAAATATAATGTAACTGAATAAAAATAAGAACAATTAAAGTTTATCAAAAATTAAATATTATGAAATAATTGCCATTATAAAGCATAATATATCTAAACCTGTGGTAATAAGACATGAACTATTAAAGAAATTAGACAAAACTAATATTGTGTTGAATGAAGAAAAACCAATTGTACCAAGAATGAAGTATTTGGTACATAATTAATTCATAAAGAGAATTATTCCACAAAACATGGAAGTCACATTAACATAGGGCATGTTAGGAGAAATGAATTAGAAAAAAGATTGTAGAAAGCGTACCACTATTAGCGATTGAAGTGATAAGCTGTAACAAGCCCACTGTGAATCATTTATATGTTATTTTTAAAGTGGCCCGTTACAAATCCAACCCTCCACCGGCCTAAAATGTATAAGCTTTTAATTGCCAATAAGAGTAAGGGAAAATAATGCAACTCAAGTATCACAAAGAAAATTAATTTATAATAAATATAAAATTATTAATTATTTATATTTAATTATTAAATACATTTTATTAGTTTTTATTTATTTTTAAATGTTCCCAATATATATTTTTGCATTTCCCAAGAGCACTCAGACGTTGTACAATGAGAAAATACCGATATTTTGTTACTCAACATCTAGGGCATTCTGCACATTACCCGTGCATTTCTTACAATGACCGATTTCCTACTTGACCAGTACCATGTTATACAATATTTAAATATTTTATTTTTTACATTAGGTCAAAATAAACATTTATCAATTAAATCATCTATATTTATGATTATCTAGATTAATTTAGTTTGCTTTTTCATATTTAATACTTAATAGTAAGAATTATACATTTGTTCTTACTTTTTCTTTTCGAGCTCTAAATGGAGCTTGACCTTCAATCATCTCGAATACTAAACATCCAAAGCTAAACCAATCTGTACTATATGTATACTTTTCATTATCAATTACTTCAGGTGCTACAAGACAAAATGTATAATAATAGTTGTAGTTAGCTAATACATATTATACTATAGTAATATTATTATATTATTATGTATTAGAGTTAACAAATCAATTTTTATTTACCCATATAACCAACAGTGCCTACTCTTCCTCTGACTGATTCACCTTCAGGTATCTCCATTGCTAAACCAAGGTCAGATATGCGAACATGCCCTGCGTCATCCAAAAGTATATTTTCTGGTTTACAATCCCTGTACACTATGCCTTGAACATGTAAATGTTCTAAGCCACATAATACCTGTGGTAAAAAAAGGATTTAGTATATTAAGTATAAACTGTAGAGAAGTTGGTGCATGAAATAAGTAATGTTACTTTATGATATAAATTAACCATTATATTATATTTTTTTACTTCATTTAATTTTGCACAATAAAAATAAAAATAAGAAAATTACCTCAGCGGCATAGAATCGCGATCTTGAAATATCAAAACCAGGTTCTGAGCCCATGTTGTAAATATGAAATTTCAAATCTCCACCATTCATAATAGTCAATACTAAACACAGTGCGTCCTTTGTCTCATAAGCATAAGCTAAACTAACCTAAAATCAAATAACATAGTATAACTATTTAAAAACATGTTAATTTATTAATTTAAAATGCACAAATAACTTTAAAAATAAATTGTAAATAAATATAAACATACCACAAATTTAGAATTAATTTTTTGTAAGATTTGTTTTTCAATTAAAACCATTGCTTCACCTTTTCGTTTTTTAATCCGTTTCTTTTCCAATTTTTTACAAGCGTACATCTTACCAGTTGCTCTGACTTGACATGCACAAACTTCTCCAAAACCACCTTTACCAAGTACTCTATACATGCGGAATGTTTTGTATGTAACAGTTTGCCTGAAAAAAAAAAACAAAAAAAAATTATCATTAAGTTCATATACCCACTCAACAGCACTTCTATTTACAACACTAAACTTTCCATTACAAAATTAAAATACATACACACCTTTCTAACCACTTCCATTGTAAATACCTATGGAAATACATTGAAGATTCAAACAAACTAAATGGACGACCCGCTAAGAACGATTTCACGGCAGTTGAGCAATCAGTAAATAACTCTCTATGAGCAGAGTCTAACTGGTGCCGACATCTAACTATCATGTCTTCGCTTAGTACGTCCACTGCATTAACTGCCTAATAACAAAAAGTTAGTTTTTAATAATTATATAAAATAAATCAAAATTAAACAATGATTGATATACATACGTCTCTTCTTATATATCTATCATAAAGTATTTTTGCTAGTTCTATTCTATTTTCATCAGATTCTATTTCATATTTTTCCTAGTAACAAAACAGAAAACACACATTAAAAGATAAAAAAAAAAAAAAAAACGTGATGAGTTTTAATCAAACTTACAATAGAATCTAAAAATACATTGTAGCGATGAAATTCATGTCGTTCTTCTTCACAAAATTGAAGAAAAAGTAACCGGCCAATTGGTTGTTGATCTATAATATAGCTGTATTTCATATCTGAAACATGATTGATTTTCCAAATTACAATAATATAGGCACTCAAGTTTAGATGAACTTTGAACTTTAGAATCTAATGACTTACCTATTAGTGGTTTAAAATCAACACACTGAGATATGTGTGGGAATTGGAGGATTTTTTTCCATTTTTTACTTTTCCCTTTATTGCTATCTGTACCACCTAAAAACAAAAACAAAATATATAACAATTAAAGAATGTAAGTCAATAGGTACATTGTTTGAATTAAAAAATCAATGCTTTGATTAAAAATATATATAATACATTTTTTTTTAACAATTTTTGACCAAACAGTGATTATTATAACAATTACTTAAATACCAATGTTATATTTTTAAACAAATACAACATTAAGTTTTAGTTGCTTAAGAAACATCCAAAAGATTTATCACGAGAAATATTACAAACTATACCTACCTGAAATATTTCTTTTTAATATACTACCTACATTATAATAAACATACAATTTTTTTCACAATTTATAACTGTTAAAATGTATAGATGGTAACCTCAATAATAGACAATGAAAGGAATTTAAAGATGATTGTTTGAAATGAACAAATAATACTGAAGGTGCACTACCTTCCTATTCTTTCATGCATTATAAGTACCTATAAGCTCATTATTATTGTTGTATATTTATATTATGTTGACATCAGGCTAAGCTAGCTCACACTTATTCAATTGCAAACAATTAATATAAATAAAACTATTTACTACATTTCGTTTTAAAAGTAGGATGCATAACTTTCCTACTTGAAATTAAAACTCAAATTATCAAAAATTTAAATAGCAATAAATATTATATATTATAATATAAAAACTATGGTCAGAACTATTAGCTTAAAATTTAAAACTAAATCTTCCAAAACTACCTACAATAACTTGAAACATTTAATTAAAAAAAAAAGAACAATGTTCAATATGTCATTAAATTAAAAAATATAAACTGCTAAAAATAATATCAATAACACACTACCTATAAGATCTACGGATAAAATAAGTTGTATAGTTTGAAATATCAAGATAAGCAAATATTGACGAAACTTAAAACAGGGCAACTAATCTATTGTAAAAATTACAAAATATCCATAACAACATAATGATTATTTCATATTATCTCTTTCCTGTTCAACAAGCTTTCCAGTGAAAAGCTTCTGTACAAAACAGCAGAAAGAACATTTAACTTGAATTTTGAAGGCAACTACAATCTATAATTGCACCAACTCAAACGAAATTCAAAGTACTTAATAACTACTTCAAACAATATTCCATCTCGGTTTATCGACATTAATCAATATCATACTCAATACTGAGAAGTTAATACTTATGTGATACATAAATATCAAGACAGTGTCAATACTACGGATGGATGTTTAATACCAGATATACTATTACTACTGAACTATTGGTTTAATTTCAAAATAATTTGAGACCATTTATGATAAGTGATCCTAGATACGAATAAGCTTCCACGAATATTCAGAGAAATAGAATGGAAAAATATTTTATTGCAGATTGTGCGCACATTTCTTCAAATGCATGCTCTTAATATTCTCATACGTCTAACTGAAATTTATTTGCGTCCATGGCCAGGGAAATATTTAACATTGAATGTTTATTATAGGTACCTAATAGGTAGGAAACTATCTAATAAATTTCATTAAAATTGTAGAACTTATGCAAATTAATCCAAACTTTTATGCATACACAACATGTGACCAAACTCGGGAAGCATTTTAAATAGTTTTTATACAAATTAAAAAGTAAACTAATTAAATGATATAGCTACAGAAAGTTTAATTAATATCCTTCAAATACACATCTGTTATTATATAAGTTTATATTAAATTAAAACTAATTGAAATATTGTTTCTCATAATGATTTGCTTTGAAATTAAATTGTTTGAAAACAAATTTATACGACCCTACCTACCTATGACTACCTATATTCAATAAATACATCAATAAATTAACTTAATAACTATAGGAAAAAAGGATAATGAAATGAAATAATTTTTTTTCAAAACCACAAAATGTAACCTTGTTAAATTCTCCGTGGAACGAACAATTTAATAAGTTATACATATAATTAGCAAAACAATAAAGGTAAGTACCTCCAATATAATTTGATATATATTGATTAACATTCATTAAAAATGTAAAACTAATTTAAAACAAATAAATACCAGACATGTACACGCTTGTGAATACCTACAAAGCGTTTATAAAATAGTTTTATCAAAATATTTAAATAGGTAGTACCTAGGTATTGTTTGTCATAGCGTACAATACACTTTACCAGTCTGCAAAATATCTTTGTAGAATTCATTATTTTTCTAACTAAACAATAATTTATTAATGTAGGTATTTAACGTGAGTAATTAGTACATAAGAATAACATACTCTGTTTTTACATAATACTAAACAAGTAGTAGAACTGCAGTACACCTACGAACAAAAACATTTAATTGATCAAAAACTTGTGGTAAATAGAGGCAGCTATTAGTCGCATAATGTTTGGTGATAATCTGAAGAATATTCAATACCCGGTTCTCATATTATAATAATATCTTAAGCAAACTATGAATATGCTGTTGAAACAAAAGTAGATTATACAACTAAATTTTACTTTAGCCCATATTAGGTATTTGTGTCGGTGGGTTGTAGGACCAACCTATTTGACAGTATTAACGATTACTACTAACTGAGCATTTGTAGTTTTAAATAATTTGGGTACTATTGAATAAAATCATTAAACAATTTACACGCTATGTAAGCGGGTATGGAGCAATAATTATGTTATGTTAGGCACTGAGTTGGTATTGTTTTAACTCATCGCTTGAATCGGAAATGGATACAATGACCAATATTTTGGTCAAATTGTATTAAGTACCTACCTACCTACCTACCTACCTACCTATTTAATACCTTTCAGACAGTACAAACACAATGTTTAAATGTTTTTTTTTTAAAGAACAAGAGAGTGCAAATAAATACTCTCTACTAATACAACGACACGCAGCACACCCAAGCAGTAGAAAAGTCTCGATTGGTAGTTTCTGCAGTAATACCTTTATCTTGTTGAAGAGGTTTTTGCAATACAAATCATCCAGAGAAAGTGAGTGGAGAAACTATATTAATATGATATTATTGTACATTTGTACAAAAATCAGTGTGGCGGAGTGTGGACAGAATTTTACAGCAAACGGGTATGTATAGTAGATAACCTACGTGCTCGCCTTGAGCGTCACTGTTAGTCGCTGGTCAACAGCCACGGTAAAGAAAACAGTCGGTTATCGAGACAATGGAAGACCTTGGACGGATGTGTACCCTACCAAAGATTTGCAAATTAGTTAAAAAACATTAATGCTTACGTAGCTGTACATAATACATGACAATACATTACATACAATATAGACATAGGTGTGTGGATACCTGGACAATACACAAATCATATATATATATTAAACATATATATTATATATATAGGTCAAAGGGGTCGCCCGAAACGGGTGTATCGGCGATAGGCGTGGCGGGTAGGAGTAAACGTCTGAGGGGTCGTGGTGAACCAGGAAGGACGGGCTCCCCTCCACTAAAAAACAGCCCCTACGAACCCCGAAAGAAAAGCGCCCCTCTAAAACGTAACCACTGAACAATCAGACCGCCTGCAGCACTGCGAGGGGTACCTCGTAACCAGGTACCCGTGGTACCCAAGTGTACCGGGATGACTATCGTACAGATAATAATTGCTCGGGGATGATTCTCATTCGGCGACCCACCGACTACCACGGACCCGCGAAGATCGCGAAAGCGTCAACACGTCCGTACGAGATTTATAATGGAAATAATAATAATTATGATACTCGCCTTCTCTTGCTTTGAGGTACACGGTATTGGCAACAATGTTTTCTAATTCCATCAGTTCCAGTTTGGCTGATTTCCGGATGCCCGGGCTGACGTCCACCACTTCCCATCAATGACACCGTTAACCGTTTTCGACGTCTTCGTGTCCGCGCGCCGCCAATGTATGTGCGTGTGCGTAAATATCCGACAGCGTACGTACAATAATATTATAATAACAATAATATTAATATATTATTACGTGTGAACGTGTGCGCGACCGAGTCGTGTGTGCGTGTGCGTGTGTGTGCGCGCGCGCCCCCGACAAAATCTTCCGGTTTGCGTGTTGATTTTTTTTCCTGGCTTCGCTCACCTCCACTTCGCGCGGATCAAATTGTATCTTTCTCGCCCGTACACGCCTAACAGCCGTCAATAACTATTCTAAACGGACGTGTACGCGGACGCACATAATGACAATGACAATAATATGTGCCAAAAATCAAAATTGAGATTATATTAAATTTATTATTATTATTATTATTATTTTACTTCGTTATCACAACGCACCGAACAAGACGTAACGATAGTGTAATGGAGACGACAATTCGGTGGTCGGTTACCAACAGCCGATTGCTCGAGATACGCGTCGACGGCGACGGCGACACGACTAGCGCAGCAGGTACGCGTCGTTCGAGAAAAGACGTGTGCGCCAGCTACCTGTCTGCCCGCAGCCTACTTACTACCACCACAACTACTACTACTACTACTACTACGTCAGACGTCTAACGCGATTGCCTATATTATTGTGACGATGATAGTAATAATAATATAAAAACGAATGACGATAATAATATTATAATATTATTACTAATAAAAATACTACTAAATAGCAGTTAAGTAGTAGTGGTAGTCGTAAAATAGTAACAATCGGCGGCAATTGATAACAGTATTTATTGTGTTATTTTTTTTTCGAACGAACACTGGCTCGGCCGATCTTCGTCGTCGTCGTGGTCGGCGGCGGCTATGTATATAGCACGGCTTCCTCCACCCCGCGCGCGCGAGAGAGACTACCTTCGAAGTGAACGAACAGTGCACGCGTTGACGTCGTCGACGCTAGTGCCCGCGCGCCGCGTTCCCGGTTCCTACCGTGGTGCTAGCTGGTGCTGCCGCCGCCGTCACCGCAGATCGTGCGTGTGTGTGTGTGCGCGCGCGCGCGCCGGCTGTCGGGACGGTCCGATTACGGCCGTAGGCGCAAAACATCGAACTGCTCTCCGTGTTGTAGACTTGTAGTGTGCTGTTTCGTAGTAACGGACCGCCGGCGGTTACCCCGCCCGCCCACAGAGGGTGGGCCGTTTCGTTTCGACGTTCGTTCGTCGTCGTCCGGAGCAATGCGCGCGCATTTCGTTCTCTGTACTCTGGTGGCCCTTAAAAACGCGCGGAGGATCGACTTTTCGCGGGTGTTCCATACCAACACGTTGGTGAGAGGGCGTGGGAGGGGGGGCACATTTTGGAATTCGCCGTTGCGAGTAATTATAATATGAAATCACAACCCCCCCCCCCCCCCCCAAAGGGTTTGATGATTTTTATTTTGTCATTTGTTAAAACAAATAACTTGTTATCCTATCTACTCCCCCTAAGCAGAGATTGAGTTTGAAATAAAGAATTACATATTGCGAATATACAGTGCCTATAAAAACCTGCAGCATTTAAAAATTAATAAAATACGAGTTATTGAATTATTGATATATTTCATATGAAAAGAGATTTATTATCTTATAAGTTAAAATAAAGTTCATCAATAGATGCCAATTATGTACCGTTTTTTTGATACTAATGGAATGATTCAAATATATTATTTTCTATACACCTACCTATTGAACGTGGCATTGAATTGAAAAAATGGGGATCTTATAATGGTCAATGAATCTTTTGCTAATAGGTACCTACTTTCATCTGCACACTGCAGCATCATATTATGTTCTATTATAAGTTTTGGACATTATATACTGACTTATAACTTTTTAAATGTAAAGCATGATTACAAATTTTTGACAGAGTAAATTTTAAAATTCTTTATAATTTGGTTCTTTTGGATCCATCTTTAATAATAATTGTTTTGTCTTAAATTTGTTGGGATTATTTGTACTCTTAATTATATTTATGAAGTAAAATTCTTATTTTGACTTATTATTATTATTATATTATTTACTACAGGTACCTAAGGGGTTTAAATTTAATAATTTGAAACGTATAATAAATAAATTACAACCTTAAGTGACGTTCTTCTGTAAATAAATGACAAATCCTACTATCGAAATCGCAGTGATTGGGGTCGAGGTGCCACTAAACCTATACAGAAATTTAGAATGATACAGTCCTGATATGAGGGGAGAGACCATTAGTGCTCCAGCTAACTTCCCAGGGTGGTTTTTCGAATTTTGTACATCAAAAAGTATATTTTTTGAAACGCGGTTTTTTCTTTGCTTCTCTCGTGTCTCATTATCGTGATTCGTCGTACCTTAATAATAATATATTATATTATAATTTAAAAAAGTAAAATGTTACCACTACTTATAGCGTAAGGTGGGGCACTATAACGGCCGATTTTCTAAGACAAATTATAAAATAAAAAAACGAATAAAAATTAATTATTATTTATTATATTGACGTACATAACTTGCCATTTATTTTTTAAAAATGATGTCTTCAAGATGATGGCCATCTCAAACACTCTTCTAGCCTATTTCGTATGTTTTCCACTACACGGCTCTGACAGCAGTGACGTTTTCAGGTGTGCGAATGGTTTTTTGTCGTACAGGCTTCTTTTTAATGCTGAACCCGTTTCTTCAAAGTTGGTTATCCATATTTGAATAGCCTTAGCCAATGGTACCGAATCATGATACGTTTAAGATTAAAATGAAGACGAAATGCACGCTGTGCAGCTATACGTAACTGTCTTTTTTGTAAAACAATTTTATCGCATAAGCACGTTGTTTACCACTCCACTGTTCCATGTTTACAAAAGGCATGTTGTCTTAGAACTATTAATAATATTATTGAGAATTCTTTTCTTAATTACTAGGTACTCAAAAAATCTATTTTCAAAATCGGCCGTTTCAGTGCCCCACCCTGTATATTATATAGGCGCAAATATAGGGATATATATATATTATAATCATAATATTGATTTAACGAAGCCCCAAACCCCCCAACTTTGGTTATCGACATACAAACAAAAATCACTATATTTAAATTAATTTCATAATTTACAATTTTAAAATCCAATAACTATTTTAATACTTACAATATTATAATAATATATCTATTGGGCAAACAGGGTAGCTACTAGCTGACAAGCGCGCACTAAAATATTATGAACAACACGGTTCTCTTACCACATTTTCACGAAAAATAACGACAATAAATTCTTATCGTATGTGTCGATACTTTATATCAGCCATAATATTAAAAAGTTGGGTAAGTGGATGTCGCTCTGCTGTACAGTAGGTTACAAGTGGGTCACTGTATAATGGATGCTTTTAAATTTGAATTCAATGATACAATATCATTGTATAAGAAAAACGATTCTGGCGAAGACGGTATGTAAGTCTAGGTTTAAGACATATTATATACATATCTATGGTATTAAAAAAAATTGACTTATAATAAATTCCAAATTAATCATATCACATTATCACAATATCCATTAGGTACTTATAACATGTTATACATCAACATCAATAACAAACCCTGATACTATCATAGATATATAATAATTAATAGTACACTTTAGAAGTTTCAAGTAGGTACCCACGAATAGTATTATATAATCACAACAAAATAACTAGGTTTTTTAATATGTAATTTCGTCCAAATTTGAACATAAAATGACTATAAAAATAAACTGTGATTGTATATTTTTTAGATTTTTCGGTAAGAGAATTAACTACTTACGTGGAATCTTGTTTTAAATTTTCAATCCTTAGCTATAAAAACTGAACATTATATAATTTATTAATTACGATGATTAATAATTTTCGAGATTTTGAAAAATTCTGTCAAAATTCGATGTTTAAATGCTTATAAAAAAAAATTGTGCCTATGTATTTTTAATATTTTACAACTGATATTGTAACAATATGTCAGGAGCCTTGTATTAAATTTTTACACTTTTGGCCCAACAGATAAAACTTTATTGATATTCATAGAAAAAAAAACTAAAAAAATTGAAAAATGAAAATGTCCGTAAACAGCTCAAAAAGAGTCAAAATATTTTCAAAATCGTATGGTGTATAGGAAATGCTAATATAAACATTCAGTGAAATTTTCATGTATCTACAGTTATTCGTTTTTGAATTACAACAAAATAAGGAAATCGCTACATGAGAAATCGAGTGAATAACTAATGTTGTAAAAATTTGAATTTCAAACGCTCATAAAAATTTAATTTAATTGTCCGGTAGAGATTTTTTTATTGATACAGGTAGACAAACTTATGAGTAATCTTGTATTACATTTTCAAATCTTAGATTTAAAAGGAAAATTTTTACGAATTCTTAACTCAAAATAATTTGCTAATTTTCGTGATTTTTCCATATTTTGTCAATTTTTGAACTTTAAATGCTTATAAAAAAAAATTGTGACTAAGGATTTTTAATATTTTTCATCTGCCTTTGAAACAATATATTAGGAGCCTTCTATTAAATTTCAATCTTTCGCAACCAACAAATAAAATTTTATTGATATTTCTAGAAAAAAAACTAAAAAAAAATGAAAAATGAAAATGTCCCTAAACTGTTCAAAATAAATCAAAATATTTTGAAAATGTTATCGTGTATAGAAGATGCAAATATAAACAACCAGTGAAAATTGCATGTACCTACGGTCATTTGTTTTAAAGTTACACCAAAAACCAAATTCAATTTTCTGAAAAATCGATTTTGCGTAAAAATTCCCGTTTTTTCCTTAATTTTTCTTTTGTTTTTCTTGGCGCTTTTGAAAAGTACTGGGAATTTTAAATTTTGACCTCCCCAATGCACCAACGATATTCACTTTCCAATCGAACAAGATACTGAAGTC